AATGCTAAGGTGAGGTGGGCCATACCTGACTGGGCTGCAGCACCCAGCCAGCACATATGAGAACCAGCAGGGGAGAGGGCAAAGCTGGTAGGGGGAATGTGGACAATCACATGGGAGAGCATGAGTTGGGATGGGGGCAGACCAGACCAGGCAGGGGTATAATACCTGTTTGCCTCATGTGAGCTAGATGGGGGAAAGTCAGGCTGGGCTGACTGTTCCTCTTGCTGTAAGCAAAAATCAGTGGGTGAAATTGAACTTCAACTGTGAATATGCAGCAAGGTGGAGGAATCCACCATGGGGGGAGGGTAGTGGGAGGGGTGGGGGAATCCCAGTGCCTATAAAACTGTATCACATAATACAATGTGATTAACAATAAAAAAATAAAATAAATCAGTGGGTGAGGGTTGGCTGAGCTTTGCCACAGCATCAGCTGGCAGATGTTGGCACTGGGGGCTAATTCTGTCAAGTTAAACTGCAAAAACGCCTGGAGAGTGCATGATTTGGGAGTGGGAGTGGATCCAGTAGGGAAACAGTGGGCACCTCCCTCTTGGATTACCACTCCCACTGGAAAGCATGAAAACCAGGACTGGGGCAGGCATGGCTAGAAAGAGAGTGGCAACCACCAGCATGTGTGTGGGCTGGATAGTGGGGTTGGTTGGGTTAAACTAGGCTTCAACACCCATTGGAAAGCATGAGAGTTGAATGGGATGGACCAGCCTGCTATACATACTGGCAAGCACAGGAACCAGCACAGGGGGCAGGACTAGTAGGGGTTATTGTGGGTTGCTCCGGCTAGGCTGCAGCTCCTACTGGGTTTGTGCAAGGACCTAGTGTGTGGTGGGCAAGATCAGGCTGGACTGCAACACCCATTGGTTCATGTAGAAGACAGGGCTGGAAACAAAACTGACCCAGCAATTGCAATCACCAGCATATGCTCAAGCTGATTAGGGCAATGAACTGTGCCGGACCCTGTACTGGCAAGCACACACAAGAATCAGGTCTGGGGATCACTGCAGACAGTTTCTTGGGGAGCCCTCCAACTGAACTGCTGATCTCAGAACTACAACCATGAAGAGAATTGCAGGTTCCATGATCTGGCCATGGAATGCATGTGTCAGAGCTGAGCCTCCTCAGAGGCTTAGACAGAGCAATGGAGAGCATATCCAGGTGCAGATGGAGAATATGGCAGTTCATCAGAACCTGCAGAGGACACCTGGTACCACAACAAAGGATGGAGAACAGAACAAATCGATCAGTTACCCCAGCAATGTGTTGGCAGTGAAAATCTGAGCAGAGACTCCAAGGTAGACTATGTCAACCAGTGGATTCTGGGGGGATTTCATTGTGCTTGGAATCGTGAGATTGGCAGCAATTCAGAACTGTTGAACTATTAAAAACACATGAGCAAGACTACCAGAGCATGCCCCACGTTGGGGACCTGGCATGGGTGGGAGGTTGGTTGTAGCTTCTCCCTTTATCTTCCCCTTACCCCAGATACAGTAAAAAGAAAGAGAGAGAGAGAGAGAACGTGGAAACAATGGTCTTGCCCACTTTCCTGTAGCCCTTGACCCTTTGTGCCCTAATCAACTATGTAAAGATTATAAAAATAAAATAATAATTAAAAAATAGTTCTGAAGAGATATTCCTTCACTTTAGTGATAACACAAGTCCACAACTGTCATGCCTAACTGCAAAATCCAGCATCCTTTCCTCAGAAGCCACGAGGGGAGCACATTGATTCTTCTGGTCACAGACGATGAGCACTTGGAACCTTGTAAATCTGCATGGTCTATACTGATTTCATTTAGTGGAACGAGTCACATCTTCGATGAACAGTTCCTGCCCCAAGTGTTTGGTACTGGTGATGTCACCTCACATAGGTGGAACCTGTAACTTCTGAGAATCCTATGAGATTTAGGAAGCAACATTGCTTCCAGCCCCAGGTATTTGGGATAAGACATTGTGGAATCTCAGTACCCTTTCTGTGAACAGCGCCTCTACACTTTCAGGGTTCCATTGCAGCCTTCCTGATGTGTTAGCCTCTTGACCGTCCAGGCAGTGAGTGTACCACATACCCTCATTCTGGTACAGCCTCTCCTTCTCAGCAGACTGTTGCCTCACTCGTCTTCAATAGTCTCCTTGTCAGTTGCCTGGAGTCTTCACTCCTTCCAGAACAGTCAGGGAACAAGCCCTATGCCCCTGACCAGTCTTGTCACTGTCCAGCTGAATAATTTCTCACAATAACTACATCACTGATTTCCCCTCAGAAGCAGCAAAAACTATTTTGATCTGATCCTATATATAATCTCTTTATTCCCCCAAGGGTATTCTGATTCTGGGCCAGCACAGTAGTCTAGTAGCTAAAGTCCTCACATTACACACACCAGTATCCCATATGGACACCGATTCTAATCCTGGCAGCCCCACTTCCCATCCAGCTCCCTGTGTGTGGCCTGGGAAAGCAGTCGAGGATGGCCCAAAGCCTTAGAACCCTACACCCACGTGGAAGACCCAGAAGAGGCTCCTGGCTCCTGATCAGCTCAGCTCTGGCTGTTGCGGCCACTTGGAGAGTGAACCATCTGACGGAAGATCTTCCATCTCTCATCCTCTCTGTATATCTGACTTTCCAATATAAATAAATAAATCTTAACAAAGTTGTGACAGGAAACAAGTGTTCCTCCCAGTAACTAAGATACCTGTTTTCCACATGCCAGGATCTGGATTCATTTTCCGTCTCTGCCTCCTGGTCCAGCTTCCTGTCAGCCTGGGCCCTGGGCTGAGGGAGCTGTGCTGGCCCATGTACCTGGACTCCCACCATTGACTCGGGCGACCTTTGAGTTCTGGGCTGGAGTCTGGCTCAGCACCATCATTTAGGAGCAATTGAGGATTGAACCAGGAGATGGGAGCTCCTGCTCTCTCTCTCCATCTTCCTATCCCTTCTTCTTTCTCCTCCTTCATCCCTCCCTCTCTCTTTTTCTCTCAACTTCCCTTACTCTCAGCTTTAAATAAAATAATGTGGCAGACACAAACAATTTATGTAAAATGATGCTTGTCACATGCCATTTGGAATAATGAAAAATGAAGAACCTACATATCCATCAATAGGGGAATGCAAACTTTGGTAGCTGTTCTCTAAGAATATTATACATTATTAAGATTAATGTATTTCATGTTTCGATATTGTTTCAGATATTTTACAAAAAAACCTTGAAATGCAAACAATGAATGCTTTCTATTAAAAAAAAACAGATGAAACTGTTTCTGAAGAATTTTACAAACTGAAAGAATGTGCAACTCATTAATTAAAGGATTATATATAAAATGGAATACATAATGTTCTTTCAAATTTAAGAAATATTTGTATGTATGTATTTTTTACATTTTCTTTCTTAAAGGTTTATTTATTTTTATTGGAAAGACCGATATACAGAAAGAGAAGGCAAGACAGAAAGATCTTTTAATTGCTGGTTCACTCCCCAAAAGCCACAATGGCTGGAGTTGAGCCAATCCGAAGCCAGGAGCTTCTTCCTGATGGCCTTGTGTTCTGGCCCTGCCTTCCCTGAGGCAGAAATGGAGGCCCTGGGAGATGGAGGACGTCAGACGGCGAGTCACAGAGCGCCACCTTGTGGCAGGCTGCGTCCTCCCCAGAATTAGCATAGCAACTAAGCCCTTTCCTAAGGGTGGCAGGTGGGTGGTTATGTTCAAATTAAAATCTTTCGTAAGATCAGCATGAACCACTCTGTGTACCCTTCAGACAAACGAATAAACTTTCATGCAAGGGTTCAGCTGTATCACCAGTACAAACAGACTTGTGGAACTTCAGTCCACTTCAGTGTCTTCTGACGGGTTATGTTCAACCCTGCCTGCCTGATTAAAGGCCCTACAGGAACTTGTAAGTTGTGAAATGTTTGTGAATGTGTTTCCCCGTGATCATGCAATGTGTCTTAAGAACTCACCTTTGAATCTCGGATATCTTTCCCCAAACCCTTGGATAAAATCTCAGCATATTGCTTCACTGTTAGTGCTTCTGCACCAAGGTTTATGGCCTTGCCGATGAACTCCTCTGGAGAATTAAAGATGTTAGAGACGATGACTCCAGCATCAGCAACGGAGATGCCAGGCAAGGGTGCATCTCCCATGGGCAGCACTAGTTTAACAAAAGCAAAATAAAAGAAGCAAGATTAGGCTGATGACCATGTGAACTGCATCAACCCAAAATAATCAACTAAGTCCACATAGATTGGGAGGCAGCCACAGAAATCCAAGTGGTCACAGCTCCGCACAGTAGCAAGGTTTTGCATGAGAGCATTCCATGATGGCCTCTGGATGTTGGCTACAAAGAACAGCGCTTGGCTACTGAGCCGCTGAGCGCACAGTGGGGCTCATTAATCATGAGCCCAGACATCTCTGCTGAATGTGTCCGGCTTCTTACTCAGCATCCTCACTCATCTATTTCATAGGCGTTCTCAACATTCCCGACCCCACGCAGAACTCCTACCACCCTGACAATCTTCTTCCTGCATGTCTCTGCCTTTTGGAAACTAACAGGTCTTCAGTTTTTCAAATCAGTAACCTCAGAGTTAACTCTAAGTGCACCAATTTGCTTATCATGGAATCCTACTCACTTTTTTTCCCTAGAACTTGACCACTTCCAGCCATATCAGCGGTACCACAAAGGTCTGCACCACCAGCATCTTTGGCTTGGATGAGGACGAAGTCATCTCCCAGTGTCTCCAAGGACTCAACCACTACCTAGAACAGCAAGCTCTGTGCAGGAGCAACCTCACCCCTCATTATTCTGATTCTGAACAGGGAACCCAGGACAGAAGAGAAAAGTTTCTTCCCTTGTTCACCAAGAAGGTCAAGCGGAACAGCCAGAGGCCCTAGGGGTCATCTCACCCAGAATTAACTGAAACTGACTCCTGGCTGGTGACCTGCACAAGGTCAACATGTGAAAGTCTAGATGTGAAATTCTTGTGTTTGGGTCTCAACGAACTTCTCTAACCACCTGCATGGGCATATAAACAATTTGAGAATGTTCTTGGTACTTCCCTTTGAGCTAAACACTCAAATGCTGCATGCATGAAGAGGGGAAGGAAGATTGAGAAGGATGGAGGGCAGCAGGTATCTGGTTGACGTTCTCTGCAACCTTCCACTTACTCAAGGTGTAGTAATCTCCATCAGAGGCCTTCACAGGTTTTGCAGCTTTGTGAAAATTCTCAAAATAAGGTGGCACACGGACGCTGGTCATGGGGACTCCAATGGACCAAAAATACTCCTCCATTATTCCTTTGGCATCAAAGTATGACACGGTCAATCTTCCCCCGGATAGCTTATGGATGTACTCTAGGCTGCTGAACACCACATGCTTCAGACCAAGGCGCTTGGCAACATCTGCCATCAGCTTCCCCTGGGAGACCAAAGAGAAACCTTCACTGGGGTCCTGCCTTTACATAAAGACCAGAGGGTAGGTGCTGGGCCCTGCTTACTCCCTTATTGCCTGAATCCACAACCATAAAAAGCACCTATGGCCTCAAAATACATCAGGTTATATTCTGAGGGACCACCGACATACCATTGTCCTCACAATCAAAGATAGTGTCATAAAACACGTAAAGCATACACACTTGATAAATAGTACATGGTTGGTATGAGCTTCCTTGTTTTGCATAGATTGGAACATTCCAGATGGGGAGAAATAGCTAGAGATGGAGCATGAATGGATGCTGTAGAGGCCACATTTGTTACTATCATAAAATAAAAGTGAGGACCTTTTATTTAAAAAAAAAAAAGAGGTTTAATGAACTCCTAGTTCTGGATGCTCTAGAGCCTGCATCTGGTACCACCTTCCTGCTGGCAGAGTCCCAGAATGCAGAACATCACCCAGCAACACACAGGGAGCACGTGGGGGACTCCTCTTGGGATCTTTCCTTCTGACAAAGCACCAGGAGTCCACGACGACGGGAAACTCCATCCTCATGCCTTTCCTACCTCTTCTCACATCAGAGCTCTCCTGCTGTCATCAGAGCTAGACTAAGCTTCCAGCATCTTTACATCTCACAATGGGATGAACTTGAGCACCTGCACACCTAGGGAACACATTCCAGGCACAGCAGGCTCGAAGGGGCAGGAGGACACAGACAGCTGCTCACCTGACGCACTTCCCTCTCTTGGTCGAGATATTCCCAAAAGTTGGTCACCAGGAAGGCTCCATAGACACCTTTTAAAGCTGCCACTAAAGATGCTTCGTCATCCAGGTCACATTTCACCACCTCAGCACCAAGATCCTTGAGCGCCAGGGCACTGGGTTTAGTCACGTCTCTGGTCAATGCCCTCACTGCAAAATGTTTGGCGTCCAAAAGTGCCTTGACCACGGGGCCCCCCTGAGCACCTGAACAGAGAAGGAGGAAAGAAACATGGGGCTATCAGGAAGGAGGAGTGTTTACTGGGGATTTTGTCCAGGAAGTCCTCTGATTCACAGCAGACCTGCTCTGGCACCATCTTCAGGAGATACTGCCTGGTTCTTCAGATTGCCGATGGCTTTCACACTGGCTTCTTAAAGTCTCTTCGGATGTGCCAAATGCAATTGGTAGAGTTGCCTGTCACACACGGATATATCAGCTTTGAAGACTGAAGTCACAAGTTGATGGGCTATGGGTAGAGATTTCATCCAATTGTTGTTTGTAAGAGGTGCGTTGGTAGGAGGACTTTAAGTCATGCAAGTGGGGAGCAAGCCATGAGAGGGTGGTTATCATGAGACCATTGGCTTGAGTTCCAGTTTGGCACAGCTGGCTTCATTTGGCTTTCTGTCTCAGGATGTAATTTTATCTGTGCATCCACTGTGTCCAGACTCCAGCAGGTGCAAGCTCTAGCACTACCTGATGCTGGTTTCTAATTCCAAACTGTAAACTAAAACTTTTTCTTCTCCCCAAACTGATAAATATTGTAGCAGAAATAACTTCACAATGTAAACAAGAATTGTTCCGGGATTAGGTGAAAAATACAAAGTAGGAATATGAAAATATTAAGATCAAACCATAGGAATTCTAGTGCAGGAAGAAATGATCAATGAAGGTGATGATTTCTGAGCTTTCTGATTGAGGGGTAGTTGAGTGCTTTACACAGTGACAAGTAAGTTAAGTCCCACATCCAGCTCATCACTTCCAATTTCACAACACTGAGGATGACAAGATACTAACTCCTGGAGGAGAAATGTGGGATGGGGTGTGGATTTGGACTAAGGGTTCAGATTTTATTAAGACATACATGTTCCATAATGAAGTACCTGATTCAAGGTCCAGCTCTGGCTCCTGATCATCTATCTCATTAAAGATCCTATCTCCAAAGAAGTCTTATTAAGAAACACTAGGAATTAAGACTTCAGCATGTTAACTGGGGAGAGAAGGACCATTACTGTTGTGATTATTCCCTTGCAAACACTGTCCCCTGCAAAGAAAGGTGCTAGATAAGAACAGACACTGTTGATGCTTTATTTCCCAGGCATGGACCCAGACCTGGCACAGTGCAGGTTCTCAATGCTTGCTATTATTTGAGTGAATGGAGTAGAAATAAGAAACCTCTGTGCTTTTAGCTCTGGGCTTTGGAGGTGGGCAGTCTTGCTGGGCCCAACATGAATAAATTACAGAGACCACTACTGAAGAGTAAATAACAAAGCAGCAACAAAGAGTAAGAGTCACTACTGGACTGTGTGGTCATCAAGGCCTGCAGGTGCAGTGGAATCTAAGAACACTGCAGGAAGAACATATGCCACAGAATATATCCTCTTTCACAGTGCACTGCTGTGCATGGCAAGATGAATCCTCCCAGTACTCTTCAAAGCAATAGAGTCAAAAGAAACTCCAACATTTCTGAGAGTGAAGCAGTGAAAACAAATGTGTAAAGTCTGGTTTTGGTCCATGTGCTGGGTCTAGTGATACAACTCACTGCTAAAGTGCCTGGGAAAGCAGCAAAAGAGGCCCCAAGTCTTTGGGCCTCTATACTCATGTCAGAAACCCAGAGAAGCTCCAGGTTCCCATCCTTGGACAGGTTCAACTCGGGCTGTTGTCACCTTTGGGAAGGGAACCAGCAGATGGAGGGTCTCTGTTTATGTGTGTATGTGTCTCTCTCTCTCCTTGTTTCTCTCTTAAATCTGCCTCTCAAACAAAAATACATGAAAACATAAAATTACTTGAACTAGTGTCTCTCCAGCACTTAGGAATTAATCAAGTCAGCTACAGTTAGAGAGACTGAGATAATTTCTGAGAAATAGAGTTTAATCACCCTGCCCCTCATGGCATCAATGACTCAAGCACTCAGGATGTTTCTTAATCCCCTACAAAGCACTTTCTTCAAGCCATACTCTCAAGCTCTCAAGATAAAACAAGTGAGACAGGAGGGTGAGCAGAATGGACATACACTTGAAAAGACTTTCCTACCTGTTGCTCCAAACACAGCAATCACTTTCCTGCTGGCCATGTTCCCAGATGAAGAAGCAGTTGCAGCAACGCTTCCCTCAGCAGAGCAACATCAGTTGAAATTTAGCTTTGCTTCTTGTGCGAGAATTATAAAGCTCTTCTGATGACCACACCCCTAATATCTCTCCCTCCTGCAAAACTGCCTAATGAATGCTGCCTAGGACAGTCATTGTGACTTTGCAGTTTCTGTATGATACTTTGTCCTTTCATTCACTCAGTATCTATCTGTCTCTTTGCTTATTTGAAAGGTAGAAAGAGAGATCCCTGGTCCCTGGTCCACTCAACAAGTGACCTCAACGGTTGGGGCTGATTCAGACCAAAGCTGGGAACCCCATCTGGGTCTCTCTCATGGGTGGCAAGGACCCAAGTCCTTGGAATCTACTACTTGCTGCTTTTCCAGCTGCATTACCTGGGATCTGGACTACAAACATTGCAGCTCAGGGCTGGGATATGTGCTATTATTAGGTGGGATGCAGATGTCTCAAACAGCAACTTAACCTGCTGGGCCACAGTTCTGGCTCCAGGCTGGGGCTTTGATGTGTATGGGAGACACCTTTTTCCTCGATTTTTGCCCTGCTAACCCAGTTCTGGAATATTGTCAGTTAGACGAGTTTCTAGGCATAAAAATATTTGTCAGCGCATTATTGAACAAAATAAGCATCTTGTCACAGCCTCTGGAAGGGTTGCTGGAATTTCAGAAGGGAACCTTGGAGCCCCTGCAAGGTCATTGTATATGGCAAAGAATTTTTTTTTTAATCTTTACCCATTTTACTTAAGTGTCTGAGTTAGAGAGGAAGAGGGATAGAACAGGAGAAAGATCTTCCATCTTCTATTTAACCCCCCAAATGGTGACAATGGATGGATCTAGGCCTGTGAATAGCCAGGAACAGGAGCTTTTTCCAGGCCTCTCCTGTGGGTGCAGAGCCCAAGGCCTTGAGACAGCCTCTGATGCTCTTTAACTTTATTTGCTAGATCTGAAGGGGATCAGCTAGTACTACACTTGGTGTTCTTTCGAACAACACATTGCAGGCAAAAAATTAGCCTGCACTTTTTAAAAGATGTATTTATTTTTATTAGAAAGGCAAATGTACAGAGAAAAGGAGAAAGAAGAAATAAATATCTTTCATCCTCTGAATCTTTCCTCATGTGCCTACAATGCCTGAAGCTGTGCCTATTTGAATCCAGGAGCTAAGACCCTCTTCCAGGTCTCCCACATAGGTGCAGGGTCTCAGGGCCTTGGGCCATTCTCCTCTGATTATGCATTAGGCCATAATCAGGGAGCTGGATGAGAAGTGGAACAGCCAGGACATGAACTGGCACCTATAAGGGATCCTGAAATTAAGAGGGCAGGATTAACTTACTGAGCCATGGTATCAGGCCCTAGCCTGCACTTTCGGTGCATAAACACTTTCAAGTTTGTATCAACCCTTTCAAGGGCTACTTTCAAGGCTTACTTTGTGTGTGTGTTTGTGTGTTTGTTTTTCTTTTATTGATTACATTGCATTATGTGACATAGTTTTATAGGCACTGGGATTCCCCCACCGCTCCCCAACCCCCATCCTCCATGGTGGATTCCTCTACCTTGTTGCATTACCACAGTTCAAATTCAGTTGACATTCTTTCATTGCAAACATCTACCAAGCATAAAGTCCAGTATCTTATTGTCCAGGTAAGTTCAATGGTTTCTTGGGGAGACCATCTCTGGTCTGAAGGTAGACCTGGCAGAGTATCATCCCGATCAATTAAAAGCCCCAACATTACATCAGTAACAATTTATAACGTTATGGAATTTTTTGACACGGTATTGAATAACCAGTATGTTAAAAGAGAAAAAAAAAAAAAAAGAATGTAAGTTCTGAACCACATCCTGTAACTTTTACATTGACATTTCAATTATTAGCTGGGTTCTATACACCTTAAAATGGCTACAGATTACTATTCAGCAGTCTCATGTCTATTTTAATTTTAGTATTAACAGTTTATAGTGTTGAAGCATGATTTTGCTGAACCTGGCTGTTTATTGGGTAGTCTAACTCTATAACTCTAACAAGACATATGTCAACAGTTTAGGTGAACAGTTTTAGGAGGGGTGTGCAGAGAAATCTTCAAAACCCTAGTGAGGAGTAACTAATCTTTGTGTCCCACAGAGTGAGTTATAAGTGCATCCACGCTGACCGTTTCCTGCCTGTTTCTAAGCTTTCCTTGTTGTTCTCTGTCTATCTATTCTAATTTTTTTGTTTGTTTATTTGTTTGTTTTGAGGGGTTTCTGGAGCTATCCTGATGGTCATTATGAGAGAAGGTGGGGACCCAAAGTTGGAACCAGGCAAGGACCAGAGAAAGCTCCTCTTCCTAGTCCCTAAGGAAGTTTACTGTTCTTCTGTTTCTACGGACCACTCAGTGCTCCTGGTTGTCGTTCCAATGACCTCAGATCCTGCAAGGCAGGATTTGGGCTTCTTCCATTCCATGTGGTAGATCCAAATGGGGGTGGGTATGGGCCCGGCGCGGTGGCTCAGTGGTTAAAGGTCCTCGCCTTGCACGCCCGGGATCCCATATGGGCGCCGGTTCTAATCCCGGCAGCCCCGCTTCCCTTCCAGCTCCCTGCCTGTGGCCTGGGAAAGCAGTAGAGGACAGCCCAAAGCTTTGGGAACCTGCACCCGCATGGGAGACCCGGAAGAGGCTCCTGGCTTCGGATCGGCATAGTATCGGCCCGTTGCGCTCACTTGGGGAGTGAATCATCGGACGGAAGATCTTCCTCTCTGTCTCTCCTCTCTGTATATCCTCTGTATATCCGCCTTTCCAATAAAAAAAATAATAAAAATAAATCTTTAAAAAAAAAAAAAGACTGAAGTCTCCATGTAGAGTGACAAGGTCCATGAGGTCATCCCTTAGCCCTTACAATTCCTAGTAAGAGGACCTGTGTCTCTTCGCAATGACCTTGGGAGTCCAAAGAGGCAACATCAACCTTAAGGGGGCATCTGTCACTTCCTGAGCTGTTAGGCTTTTTTCATAAGATATCCACTTCTCCAGTGATGGTTATCTGTGAGAACAAGCAGGTGTTTGTAGCTTTGATATAGTGGCCTCTATGTAAAATCTATTTGCCAATTTTTCCCATGATACCACAGGTTTAAGAAAGGGTGGGCATCCAGACCACGGGAAAATGATTGTAGTGCACAAAGTACAATTTTGGGAGACTCTTTGGGTAGTTGTTCTAAGGTCTTAACCAGAAAACAATTTGCCACGCAGCTCCTAAAGTTTCTCTCTCTCAAATGGCAGAAATTTTCTAATCCTACTAGAATTTTCCAGTGGAATGCCTGATGGAGGGGTATTATCTCCTCATGTTGATACCATCTGCCACTGTTTAGATCTCCACCATCCAGATCTCTGCTCTTTCATCAATCCTCTTGCTCTTTGGCCAAGGCATCTTCTGAGGGTGGAGGAGGTTTTCTTTGGGAACTTTGGATTACAATCTGAAAGGGTAGGCTGAATGATGGCAGCCTTGTAGCCACTGAGTCTGTGAAAGAACTACTTAAGGACATGCCATCCTGTGGCTGGCACTTTGGTGCAGTAGAGTAGGCCATTGCCTGTGTAAACGGTATCCCGTGTGGACAGCAGATGGAGTCTTGGCTGTTGTGTTTTTGATCTAGCTTCCAGCTAATGTCTTGGGAAAGCGGAGGAGGATGGGAGAAGTTCTTGGGCCCCTGCACTCACATGTTAAACCTGAAAGAAGCTTCATGCTCTTTGTACTGGGCCAACTCTGTAGATGGGACATCTGTCTTTTCTCTATAACTCTGCCTTTAACATAAAAATAAACAAGTAAATCTTTAGAGAGGAAAAAGCCCATCACTCTTTTCTACTTTCCCAAAGACTCAGTGTGCCATGCACAATGAAGATTACAATCTACTCAGCACCAGTTATTTTCTGAGTCACCTTAGACTCAAAGGCTAGGCCATTGTCACTTTGCAAGGAACTGACAACTCCAAACTGGGGACTAAATCACTGCATTGTCTGTTGTTCTGTTGCTTTTTTTTTTTTTTTCCAACATTACGACCAATGGCTCAGCCCATCACCTTATGTCTTTGTTTCTTCAATTTTATTTTTGATGCTGTTTACATAATTGATTAGGGTGGAAGGTGTCAAGTATTAGGGGAAAGCAAGTGAGATCATTGTTTCCGCATTTTCTTTTTTTTTTCTTTTTTCTTCCTCCTGTATCTGGGGCAAGGGAAGAGATAAGGAGAGAAGATGCACCCAGCCTCTCAACCTTCTCAGATCCCCGGGAAGGAGAACAGCCACCCGATTTCATCCCAGGGACATTGATGTGGAACATCCTTTGAGGGTTGTGCCCAAGTGGTTTCAATACAATAGTTTGATAGTTCTGAAATATTGTTGATCTCACAGTTCCAAGGATGAGGAAATTCTTCTAAGGTTCATTAACTGAAATAGTCCACCTTAGAGTCTTCATTCACACAAATGTTTGTTGTCAACACTTGGCTGTGATAGTTGTCCAATTTGCTCTGCCCCACTTCCTGTTATGGTACTGGATGTCCACTGTAGGCTCCAAAAGACTGTGATATCCTCCATGTGTATTTGCGTATGCCATCCACGGCTACATCAAAGCCACTGAGAAGGCCCAGTTCTGACACATGCACTCAGTAGTCAGACCACAGATTCTGTGATTCTCCCCATGGTTGAAATTTTATGACAACCAGTTTGGGAGGTTCTCAAAGAAACCACATCTGACACTTCTGACTCAGAGCTTATTTCTGTGTGTTTTTGCCAGTATGGGGTCTGGCTCTGTCTGTCACCCACATCAGCCTATGCATACACATTGGTGCTTGCAATTGCTGGATCAGTTCTGGCTCCAGCCCCATCTGTTATGCAAACCAGTGGATGCTGCCACCCAACCCAACCCTATCCACCACATACTCAGCCCTTATGTACACAAGCAGGATCTGTAACCTAACTGGAGCAACTCCCTCAAGCTCCCACAGACTTGCCTCCACCCCTGCTTCCTGAACTTGCCAGTATGTGCGGCAGACTGCTCCAGTCCCACATCCCATCCAGCTCTCATACATGTCAATGAGTGTTGAAATCTAGCTCAACACAACTGACCCCACTATCCAGCCCACACATGCTGGCGGGTAACACCACCTATCTAGCCAGGCCTGCCCCTATCCCTGATTATCATGCTCATCAGTGGGAGTTACAGCCCATTAGACCATTAGAAAGATGCTCACAGTTTCTCTACTGGCGCACTCCAAGTCCCAAATCTTGTGCTCTCCAGGCGGTTCTGCAGTCAGCTTGCTGCTGGTGCTGTGGCAAAGCCAAAACAGCCTGCGCTTACTCTGGTTTATGCATTCACCAGTGGGTACAGTTGGTTAGCTCAATCTGGTTCATTCACAACCAAGTTTAGATGCAGGCTAATGGGTGTTGTAGCCCTGCCTGGCCTGTTCTACTTCCAGTCCCAGCTCTCAAGCTCTCCCATGGGAGCAATGACAAGTAAGGAAGCCCTCTGGGAACCCCCTAACTAGCTCAACAAGCTCAACCAGTGTTATGTGTGCTGGAGGGTGTTGTGGCCCAGCCTGGCATGGCCCATCTCACCTGAGCATTTGCCAGTGGGTTCTGTAGCCTGCTCCCAGTTCCAGCTCATGTTGGCAAGTACTATAGCCTACCCTACCTGGACTGTCTCCAGGTTCTGATGCTAATGTGAACTGGCTCATGTGTGGCACCTCCTGACGTGTGCTGCACTCCATCCTGGTTTTCACATTTGCCAGTGACTGCTATAAACTAGCCTGGACTAGCCCAGACCTCACCCACATGTCTTGACTTGGCCAACCTCCTGTTCTGGCAAGAACTATGGCTTTGTCCATCCTGCCATCACTCATTCCGATTGATACTGTTGGATGCTACAGTCCAGCCACACCTGGTCCATGCACAGGCACAGCTCTCATGTGACTCAGTTGGGACAGAGACAGCCCCGGCTATCCTACACACAGCCTAACTCAGAAGCATTAGTAGGTGCTGGAGTCTAGCCCAGTCTAGCACATCCAAGATAGGGTCCATATCCATTCTTCAGGACACTGAGTCATGTCCAGATGAGATCATCACCACATCTGGCTCTCATGCTCACAGGGAAAGACAACCTAGCCAGGAGGTCCCTGCAGCTCCCCAGAACAGCCTATTTCCTGCCGCTGATCTTGTGTGTGCCAGTGGTTGCTCTAACTTAGCCCGCCATAGCCCATCCCCCAGCTTGACCTTTACAATCAGATGCTGCAGCCTGACCTGTCAAGGCATGCCCCCAATCCCAACTCTCACTGGTTGCAACCTGACCCTGTTCAATATGCTCCCATCCCCAGCTGATGCAAACTGATAGGCATGATAGCCCTGTCTGGCATGACCTGTACGACAGCCTGACTCCTGCACATGCAGAGGGCTAAGGTTTGCTCAGTCCTTCCCAGTCCACTCACTCCAGAACAAACCCACACACTTGCTGATGGGTGGAGCTACCTTGTCTGGTCTGACCAATAGCCAGGCCTGAATTATATGCTCACCAATGGGAGCTCTGGCCCACTAAGAGTTTCCCAAGTTCCCCCACCAGGCCCACTCACGGACAGAGATCTCACACGTGCTGATAGATGCTAGGTCCTTACCCAGCATTGTCTACTCCCTATGTCTCAGCCTTTGTTTTTTGTTTGTTTGTTTGTTTGTCCTGGCCTTTGTATGAGATAGTAGGTGTTGTGGCTCAGCCCACCCTACAACCTGTCCTTGGGTGAACCTGTGGGTGCTGCAGCCTCCATCTGTTTGTCCTGTTCCCAACCCAGTACCCATGAGTGTATGCAGAGGTCTTGGGGAATGGTGCTGGCAGGGGCATGTGCTTGTCATAAATACATGAAATAAATGATGTAGATGCAAACTGGGCTCTGCATTCTGTGTTGAGTGGCTCACTTGTCCTGGCAAGTGTATTCTTTTCATCAAACATTGCTAGCTTACTCACTGCTGATCTCAGTCACACATCTGTTTTGTTTTCTCATGGGGAGACAATAATCTCTGTCTCTGGCAACATGAGGACTTCAATGAGAATTTTGGTGGGGGGGATACAGCTCAACTACTAACACCATCTCCACTTAAGCCTTCAAAATTTTTCCAATTGGTCATTTCTTCAGTCTCTTTAGGAGTGTCTCTGCTTCTGCAACTGACATATTTCTACTCAGCCATCACACTGTGGCCATGAAATCATATACAATCTACTGTGACTGCTGGGATAAACCAAAGCCTACCAGACCCTCTGTGTATCTCCTTCCTGCCATTCATATAACATTGTCACAGCCATCATGAGCCTGGTGTTATGATTGCCCTGCTTGTCACCTCCAGTAGTTTCTGTTCCCTGACTGAGTGACTCCTGGCAACTTCAGGCCAGTCCCACCATTATTCCCTCTGGTTAGCCCTCCTTTGCATCCCCAGGCTGAGTTCTGCATCTTTCCATTCCCTCTGCCATTCCTCAGTACTGCCGTCTTATTCATTCTTGAGTTTTGCTTCCAGAAATGATGCAGAGCATAAGATCTCAAATTCAAATTCTTGCATACAAAAGACACTCAATATGTGTTTTCTTTTTTCTTTTAAAATGTTTATTTTTTGTTTGAAAGGCACATCTGGTGAGAGAAGGGAAAGTGGACAGTTAGAGATCTTTCATCTGGTGATTTACTCCCCAGATTGTGGCTAAGCCTGGACTGAGCTGAACTGAAGCCAGGAACCTGGAGGGTCTTCCAGGTCTCCCTTGTGGGTTGGGAGCCTAAGGACAAGAGGCATCCTCTGCTGATTTCTGAGGATGGGAAGTGGAGCAATAGGGAGTAGAACTCTTACCCCTTTGGGATGCCAGTGTTGCAGACTCATGATTACCCTGTTGAGACACCATGTGGAATCAATGAAAGGACAAAGTATCATTTAGAAAACTGTAGAGTCACAATGACTACTCCAGCTGGCAGCTACAAGGCAATTTTATCACAAGGGCAATATCCAGGGTGTGGCTATCAGAAGCTCTTTATAATTCTCACACAAGAAGCAAAGCTGTATTGCCGCTGATGTTGTTCTACTGAGGAAAGCTTTGCTGCAACTGCTTCTTCATCTGGGAACATGGCCAGCAAGAAAGTGATTGCTGTGTTTGGAGCAACAGGTAGGAAAGTCTTTTCAAGTGCATGCCCACTCTGCTGTTCCTCCTGTCTCACTATTTTTATCCTCAGAGCTTGAGAGTATGGCCTGAAGAAAGTGCTTTGTAGGGAATTAAGAAACATCCTGAGTGCTTGAGTCATTGATGCCGTGTGGGACAAGGTGATTTGACTGTTTTTCTCAGAAATTATCTCCGTGGGTCAAGAATTATATCTCTCTATCAGGGAATGAATTGTGTGGGTTGATTCAGTTGGTTTTCCTAAGTTCTGGAAAGACTGTAGTCTAAGTATGCGTTCCTGCACTTTTTATCCAAAAGGCAGATTTATAGAGAGACAAGGTGAGACAGAGGAAGGATTTCCTCTGCTGGTTCACTCATTAATGACTGTAACAGCTCAAGCTGAACCAGTCCAAGCACAGGAACCAGGAGCCTCTTCTGGGTCCTCCTTGGGTATTGGGGCACGGTTTGAGGCTTTCCTAGTCACTTTAGTAGTGAGCTTGATCAGACGTGGGAAAATCTCTTACCCACTTTCCTATAGCCCTTGAACCTTTTTATCCTAATTAACTATGTAAAGATTGTCAGAAAAAAAAAAAAAAGAAGTGGGAAAGCCATGACTCAAACCACTGCCAATAAAGGATGAAGGCATTGTAGACAATATCTGCTATCCACTCTGTTATGTATTTTTTCCAATTTAAACTTTCTTCTTCCTAAAGTATCTTCAGAGATTTACATACTCATCAGTAGCAGGCTTCCATATACTTCCTGGACCTTTTGTGCAATTTTAAAGTATGCATATTGTTGTTTTCTAATTTTCAAGTTAGTGACACAGAGAGGATTTCACACTTGCTTGTTTACTCTGTGGATGCCCACAACAGCCAGTGCTCTTCCAGGCAAATCCAGGACCTGTGAATTCAATGTGGGTCTCCCTTGTGGTGGGCAGGAATTCAAGTACTTGAGCCACCACACTGCCTCCCAGGGTGTACACTCCCAGGAAGCTGGAATAGGTGCAGGACAAGAACTCAAAACTAGGCACTCTGATGTGGGATGTGGGTGTCCCACATGGCAGTTTAACCACTAGACCCAGCACACAAACCAACACTAGATTTTACACATTTATTTTCATGCTTCACGTTCAGAGATGTTCAAGCTTCTTTGGGCTCTGATTCTTTGAGGAGTGGATGATCCACAGTACTGGGAGAATGCTTCTTAGCATTCACAGCAGTGCACTGTGAAGGAGGATCTATTCTGTGGCACGTGCTCTTCCTGCAGTATTCTTATAGATTCCACTGCACCTGCAGGCCTTGATGACCACACAGCCCAGGGACTCTTACACTTTGTTGTTGGTCTATATTATTTGCTTCTTCATCTCATGTTGGGCCCAGCAAGACTGGCCTCCTCCAAAGCCCAGAGCTAAAAGCACAGAAGTTTCAATGTTTCTACTTCCTTGCTTCATTCATTCATTCAGGTGACAGGAAGCATTGAGAACTTACACTGTGCCAGGTGTCCGGGTCCATGACTTTGAAATAAGCATGAAGAATCTCTGATCTTACAGAGTGCCTGGCTTTGAGGTGGGGATTAATGGTGCAAGGAAATAATCATAAAAGTCTCGGTCCTTCTCCCCCCGAACTCCTTTATCGAAGTCTTCACTCTCAGTGCTTCAAAAGGGGACTGGTTTTGGAGACAGGGTCTTTAATGAAATGATCAGGTGAAACAAGATCATTAGGTTGGATACTAATCCAGTCTGAATGGAGTCCTTGGGGAATGCATGTGCTCACTAGCAGGAAGCTGGTGTCAGGAGCCAGAGCTGGACCTTGAACCAGGTACTCCAACATGAGACATGGATGTCCTAAGTAGAATCTTAACCCTTAGTCCAAATCTACACCCCATCCCACATTTCTCCTCCAGGAGTTAGCATCCTGTGTCATCCTCAGTGTTTTGAAATTGAAAGTGACAAGCTGGATGTGTCATTGTGTCAGGCACTCAGTGACTCCTCAATTAGAAAGTTCAGAACGTATTGCCTTTGATCATTTCTTCCTCCATTGGAATACCCTTAGCTTGATCTCACCATAATACCTTTAGCTTTCTCTCTGCTTTGCATTTTTTAATTTTTCACCTAATTCTGGACCAATTCTTGTTTATATTGTGAAGCTATTTCTGCTATATTATCTACCACTTTTGAAAATGTTGTTTTCTTCTTGGGAAATTTATACTTTGGAATTAGAAATATTATCAGGCGGTGCTAGAACTTGCACCTACTACATGCCGGACACAGTGGATGCACATGCACAATCACATTGTTAGACCAGATAAAGCCAACTAGGCCAAACTGGAACTCAAAAAGTCAATGGTCTCATGATGACCACCCTGTAATGGCTTATTCCCCACTTGCATGACTTAAAGGCCTCCTACCAACACACCTCTTATACACAATAATTAGATGAATTATCTACTCTTAACCATCAACATGTAACTTCAGTCTTCAGAGCTAACACATCTGCACGTGACAAGGCAACTCTACCTCACGGCATTCAGCTATGGTACATATGAAGAGGCTTTAAGAAGCCAGTGTGAATGCCGTGGGCTACAGAAAGACCAGGTAATATCTCCTGAGGGAGGTACCATTCCAAGTCTGCTCCAAAACAGGGCCTTCCTACACAAAGCCCGCTAATGAACATCCCCCCTGATTCCTCCCATGTTTCTTTTCTCCCTCACCTGCAGGTGCTCAGGGGGGGCCTGTGGTCAGGGCACTTTTGGACGCCAAACATTTTGCAGTGAGGGCATTGACCAGAGACGTGACTAAACCCAGTGCCCTGGCGCTCAAGGATCTTGGTGCTGAGGTGGTGAAATGTGACCTGGATGACGAAGCATCTTTAGTGGCAGCTTTAAAAGGTGTCTATGGAGCCTTCCTGGTGACCAACTTTTGGGAATATCTCGACCAAGAGAGGGAAGTGCGTCAGGTGAGCAGCTGTCTGTGTCCTCCTGCCCCTTTGAGCCTGCTGTGCCTGGAATGTGTTCCCTAGGTGTGCAGGTGCTCAAGTTCATCCCATTGTGAAATGTAAAGATGCTGAAAGCTTAGTCTAGCTCTGGTGATGGTAGTGGGGCTTTGGGAGTTGAGGAGGTTTTAAAAAGCCATGAGGATGGAGCCTCTGTTGGCTTCTGGTGCTTTGTCACAATGAGAAACCCTAGAGGAGTCCCCCACCTGCTCTCTGTGTGTTGCTGGGTGATTTCCTGCACCCTGGGACTCTGCCTATAGGAAGGCCTTAACAGATGCAGGCTCTTGAGCATCTAAAAGTAAGAGCTCATTAAGCCTCTTTTCTTCATAAAAGTACTCCACTTTCAGATATTTCATCTTATTAGCAAATGTGGACTCTACAGCATCCATTCACATTATCATCTTTAACTATTTCTGTCCTCCCTGGAATGGGACAAGTCTTCATCATGGGTAAATCAGAGGATTACTTCATAGCATTCCTTTTGAATGCTACTTTTGAGATGCTTATATATCAGATATTTACTAAAAGTGTATTTCATTATGAGGATCGTGCTATGTGGCACATATCCAAACCTCAAGAACTGGGATATTTGAAATTCTTCAATGATGGCACTCATGAGTCTCAGTTCTCACATTTAATGGTAGATAGCATAGGGGATGATGGTGGTGGTGTGGTAGTCTCTCAGAAGATAAACGAATGTATTTCAAAGCCACATGTGCTTCCTCTACACGTGGATTCAGGCAGCAAGAAAGGGAGGAGAGGCATCTGGAGAATCAAATTGGAGAAATAGGTAAGGACATGTTTAAACAGATTGAGAATCATTAGCTAGGGTGAAGCAGAAAAGACATGATCCTAGGAAATAGGAGAGGACATGCCCATGGCAAAGGGGCACCTGGAGAGCTGTGGACATGGGAAGGCAGCAGACACATTGGAGCGGTGTTGCAGGGATCAGGTACTCTAGTAGAGGGTGGCATCAAGGTTCAGGGCTCCACCAGCAGCCAGATGGGAAGGCCAATTCACCAAGAGCTCAGGAGGTGAACCCAGACACAGAACTTCCCATCCTGCTGATTTGCCTGATTTGACACAAGTGGAAGCAGAGGGGCAGAACCCAAGCAAGAGTATGCGGGAACAGAGTAGATTTCATGGCTGAGACTCCCACCAGTGCTACACTGGGGACCATTTTGTGTACTAAGGAAAAGGCTGTTGGGTTGAAAGAACAACAACAAGCTTCACAGGCCCTGAGCCAGGAGAAAACATTTCCAGTTCATTGCACTGAACTGGTCTCACAGGGAGAATAGTACTGACGTGGCATCTTATGGGTTCCACCCAAAATTGTTTGTTTTGTTCATCTTCTTAAAAATTGCTTTTTCTTGTTTCAAGTTACATTGTTTTAGTTTCAATTCCATTTATTTTTGTTGTGATTTTTAAATCATTTTTTTCTTTCTATTCATTTTTTCTTTTCTAATAAGTTCTTGAGATACATTATTATTTCACTTATTTGAGAAATCTCTATTTTCTGTAAGCCCCCGATTCTACAGAAGTCATTCTCATTACTGTTTTTCCTACATTCATGGGTTTTTACATTTTTGTTTTTACTGTCATTTCTTCAAAAGTCATTTTTTTCTTTTTTATGTCTTCAGCAACACATTGGTTATTTATTACCATGATATTTAACTTCATGTTGTAACGTTTCTATTTTTCTTCCTGTTATTGATTTTGTTTCATGGTTTTGCATTTAAGGGAACGTACAGTAACTGTGTAATAGAGACTATCATATCCAGTATGCATCTCACTTTCCAGAGCAAAGATGCAGGCTCAATGAAACTGTTCAAATACCTTGACAATAGGATGTCCGATTCTGCAATTGTCCACACCTACAATACACTTAAATGACAGAATGATGGACTTATGACTGTTTGTGAAACCATATTATTGTGATGATACAGAAGAACTCAGTGAGAAGAGGGGGTTTAAGGACTGAAGAAGGGAAATACTATAGTCTATTGGACTGTGTCATAAAATAATTTTTATAAAGAAGAAAATGAGGGAGAGAAAGAAGAAGAGAAAAAAAGAAAGAGAGAAAGAAAGCAAAAGGCCTGTTTCTTTCTTTCTCTGAAGGAAAGAAAGAAAAACGGAAGAAGAAAGGAAACAGGGCCCAGTATCTGCCTTCTAATCTGTAAATAAGGGCGGGATCCAGGAGAATGTTTCACTTTGGTCTCCCAGGGGAAGCTGATGGCAGATGTGGCCAAGCGCTTTGGTCTGAAGCACGTGGTGTTCAGCAGCCTGGAGTACATCCATAAGCTAACTGGGGGAAAATTGACTGCGCCACACTTTGATGGCAAAGGAGAGGTGGAGGAGTACTTCAGGTCCATTGGAGTCCCCATGACCAGCATCCGCGTGCCATTCTACTTTGAGAATTTTCATGGTGGTTTGAAACCTGCCAAAGCCTCTGATGGAGATTGCTACACCTTGGGTAAGTGGGAGGTTGCAAGGAAAGTCAACCAGACACCTGCTGCCCTCCCTCCCAACTCTCTTCCTCCTTCCAGTACTCTCTCCTCTGCCTCTCTCCTCCAATTCAACCACACAATATTCGAGTGGCTCTTATGGGCTCAGCTCTGTGGGAAGCACTAAGGAGATTAGTAGATTACTCAGGTACCCTCACAGGTGGTTTCACTTAAAAGGTGGAGAACTTCATAAAGACTACAGAGGGTTGCATGTTCAGGCATTCACACGTTGACTTGTGCAAGTTGTCAGCCAGGAGTCAGTTTTAGTTAACTCTGGATAAAATGACATCTAGGCCTTCTGGCCATTCTACTTGACCTTTTTGGGCAACAAGAAGGAATGTTTTCTCTTCCTGTGCTGGGTCTCCTGTTCAGAATCAGAACATTGAGGGTGGGGCTGCTTTGACACAAAGCTTGTTGCTCTAGGTAATGGTTGAGTCCTGGGAGACACTGGGAGTGCCGGGGGCGGTGGGGGGGGCGGGGCGGGTAAGATGTTAAGAACGCCTATGAAACAGCCTGGTAAGGATGCTGAGTAGAATAGTGGACATGTTCGTCAGAGATGTCTGGTCTGATGATACAATGGACTCTACTTACACGCAGCAGCTCTGTAGCCAAGGGCTGTTCTTTGTAGCCAACATCCAGAGGCCATGGTGTGTTCGCATATGAGCCATTGGTTCTATGAGGATCTGTAGCCACTCAGATTTCTATGGATGCTTCCCACCCTATGGGGATGTGTTTCATTGTTTCAGGCTGGTGCATGTGGCATGGTAAACAGTTGTAATCTTGCTTTTTAAATTTTCTCAAACTAGAGCTGCCCATGGAGGATTCACCACTGCCCGCCATCTCCGTTGCTGACATTGGAGTCATCATCTCTAACATCTTTAATTCTCCAGAAGAGTTCATCGGCAAGGCCATGAACCTCGGTGCAGAAGCACTAACAATGCAGCAATATGCTGAGATTTTATCCAAGGGTTTGGGGAAAGATATCCGACATTCAAAGGTGGGTTCTTAAGACACATCGACTGATCTTGGGGAAACATGTTTGCTAACATCCCACAACTTGTAAGTTCCTGTAGAGCTTTGCATATGTTAAGACAGGGCTGAGCATGGCATGTCAGAAGACACTTGAAGAGGACTCCAGTTCCACAAGTCTGTACTGGTGATATGGATGAAATCTTTGCAAGAAGGTTTATTCGTGTTTCTTTCTTTCTTTCTTTTGGTTTTCCCCAGTGTGGGTCTGTTTGCTAAGAAGGTTTATTTATTTATTTTTGTCTTAAGGGTGCACAGAATGGTTCATGCTGATTTTAGCAAGAGATTGACTTGAAGTTACCACCCCCATTTCTCTAGTGGGAAAGGTCTTAGTTGCTATGCTAATTCTGGGGAGGACGCAGCCTGCCACACGGTGGCGCTCTGTGACTTGCAGTCTGACGTCCTCCATCTCCCTGGGCCTCCATTTCTGCCTCAGGGAAGGCAGGGCCAGAACACAAGGCCATCAGGAACTCTGCTCTAACTGAGAGGATGTGTCTGACCCTGGCAGAGCATGGCTCTCAGAGTGAGACTCAACTGGACACGATCAAGAGTTCCCTGCTTTCCTGAGACAAGGGAATTACTAGAATTACCAGAATGATCCAAAGACCCTCAAACTCATCCTCCATGTTTCCCCCACAGAACCTTCTATTAACAAACTCACCAAGGTTCTAAGTTATTGTCTGTAAAATTCACAAATGTTTAGTGAAGACAACAAAGAAAAGAAAAAATAAATTGCACACAGCTCATTTTCATACAGGAATAAATATTCCATGATTTTCTTCTTATCTTTTCCCATTATAAATTCATACATATAAATATCTAATGCATTACATTCATATTCTCTTTCATATCTGACTCTTTAATGTTATTTTGAGTGCATTTTTCTGGTTTGTACAATTCTTCAGAAACAATAATTTCGTTTGATTTTTTAAACAAGGACCACCATTCATTGCACTTCAAGTTTCTGTTATAAAATATCTGAAGCAATACAGAAAAGATAAAATACATTCATTTTAATAAATGTATGATATTCTTAAGGACTAGGTACCACAGTTTGCCATTCCCCTATTGATCGATATGTAGGTTCTTCATTTTTCACTATTCTAAATGGCATGTGACAAGCATCATTTCACATAAATTGTTTGTGTCTATCACATTAAAATTCATTTTCTACGTTGAGACTAAAGGAAGTTGAGAGAGAAAAAGAGGGATGGATGAAGAAGGAGAGAGAAGGAGGGACAGCAAGATGGAGAGAAAGCAGGAGCTCCCATCTCCTGGTTCAATCCTCAATTGTTCCAACTGTTGGCACTGAGCCAGACTCCAGCCCGGAACTCAAAGGTCGCCCGAGTCAATGGTGGGAGTCCAGGTACATGGGCCAGCACAGCTCCCTCAGCCCAGGGCCCACGCTGACAGGAAGCTGGACCAGGAGGCAGAGACAGAAACTGAATCCAGGTCATGTCACATGTGATGCAGGTGTCTTAGGCCCTGGTAGGAATACCTGTCCCCACTCTCACACCTTTGTTAGGACCATGTTTCTAAGGTCAGAATATCGCTGAGGGATAAGGAGATGATATAGGATCAGATCAAAGTAGTTTTTGTTTACTTGAGGGAAAGTTAGTGATGTAGTTAGTGTCTGAAGGGATTCAGTGGTAGATATGATGGACAGTGACAAGACGGGTTAGGGAGTACAGAGAGTGTTCCCTGGCTGAGGTGGAAGCCTGAAGTCACAAGGCACCTGGGTAAAAAAAAAGGCTAGTGAGGAAGGGTGGGGCATCAGTCTGCTGAGAAGGACAGGTCAGGCCACAGTTGGGGTACGTGGTGTGCACTACTTGGAGGGTCAACAGTTTGAAAGGTCCCAAAAGTCTTTCAGGGAACCCCAAGTAGACATGTAGGAATGCTCTTCTGCACTCTCTTCCACACATCCTCTTTACACAAAGGGAGGAACTCCAGAGTGCCTTAACCGAAACACTTGGGTCTGGAAGTACTGTTGCTTCCAGAATTTTATGGGTTTCTCAGAAGTTGCAGGCTCACATATGTGAGGTGACAGCAGGCTCTGGGGAAGGAACTTTGATCAAAGATGTGACTGGTTCCACTAAAAGAGGAAATTGAAGATGTAAATAGATTGATGTATCTCAGACTGGCCAGTATATATGACCACAATTTTCTACTTCGCGGCTTCTGAGAACAGAATGCTGGATTTCGGATTTAGGCATGAGAGCTGTGGACGTGTGTCATCATCAAAGTAAAGGAATATCTTTTCAGAATTGTTTTGAATGTGGATTCTAACGTTCCCTTGCTGTTTGCTCTGAACAGATCACTCCAGAAGCTTATGAGAAGCTGAACATCCCTCAAGCGAAGGGGATAGCCAACGTGTGTCGTTACTGGCAGAAGAACCCAGAACGCGATGTCGAGCTCACCTACCGACTAAACCCCAAAGTCAGAAGATTCCAACAGTTTGTCTCTGAGAGCGTGAAGGCCTTCAAGGACATCTAGAAGACCCGCTGTTCGCCTGGGTTCCCCATCCATTCTGCATTCTCTCCCACACTGTTCCTCATATGTAAAATCCAAGATATCCCTGTAGCCCTCCCTTTGCTAGGAAACTCTGCACTAGAGACCTGGGGCAGTCATTTGTCTCAAGTATCTTTTCAGCCATTGATATGTTCACCTGTTAGGTGACACAAGAAGCCTCACACTGATGCCACTTTTGTAGCTCTCTCTCTCTCCCTCTGCAGCCCAGTGACCCATCACTCTCCAAGGCTCTGGCTTGGGAGGATAGTGGAGCTCCTTCCTAACACAGCATAAGCCCACTCAGGTTTTCCTGTGGAAGTTAGCTCAAGACTCAGGGAGCTCCATTTCCTCAAATCAGTTGTGAAATTATCAATGAACCTACCATATAAATCTTTAAAAATAAAGCTTAGTATGGAGAATTTTCTATTTGGTGTTCAATGAACAAGCACAAACATTGGCAACTCCCAAGTTCAGTTTTGCTGCAAAGGTTGGAAGTGTGTTCTGTGATTCACTCAGTCAGTCATCTATGCAGTCCTTCAGTACTTAGGGATCCATGCATCTGTCCCACAATCCTTTCCTTCAACACCTGCGTGGGAGGATGTTCGTGGATCTCGCTCCCCTCCTGTGTGCTTCCTCACTGGATCCTGTGCTCTCCAAAGGTGCCCTGGTTCCTTCCTGGTGTATGTAGCGTCAGGGAAAAGAAGCCATAGAACCATTTGGTTCCACGTGGAGCTCTAAGTATCTGCAGGGAGTGAAGGCCAGGCAGTTGGAGGCAAAGCTTGGGAAAAAGAGGGAAGTAGAAACAGGAGTGCTTGGGGATCCGCATGGACTGTTGTGTGTTTCGGCTTTGTTGTTTTCTACATCAAATTATAATTTATTTTCACTAGCCTTCATTTGATTGTAAGCCACTTGCACCTCTCTTTATCCCCAGTGCCTGCCACAAAATAAGTGACCAGCATATGGATATTTAAAATAGTAGGCAAGATTGGTCAAGCACATAAGAACAGAAAAACTGGGGTCAGCCTTTTGGCCCAGTAACTGACGCTACTCCAGTTTCAAAGGGAAGTAGTTCCAAGTCCTGTCTCAAGATTGGAACTCAAGATAAGGCAGTAACTTATCTCAACTGTGAATTACATTCAGTAGCTAAGGCATGGTCAGCCTGCCTGAGAGCCCTGGCAGTTGTATGGATTCTAGCCCATAGGCTCAGAAGTTCACCTTCAGAATGGCTCTTACACTTTCACACCTCATGATTTCAAGAGTGTGCTGGACCATGAAAGCATCTCTGGTTGTCAGAGAGCTGCATTCTCAAATGGGAATCCTGTTTAGGAGAAAACTGCTCTACCTAAAGCCTTGACACCATTCTCGCGGATGAGATGGAAGGAGTTCTTCTCTCTTGTGAACACACATTGACATTTTGGGGAGACCCTTGCTCTGATTTGTTAGATAAACCCATCCCCTAACCCAGATTGAGTTATCACAAATTGCTGGTCCTGGAGAAAGAAGGGTCAAGTACATCACTCTGAAACAAACAAACAAAAAAAAACAAACAAATACCTTGACATTGGCCGAAAATATCTCTGAGGGAGAAAAAAATTTTAAGATGCCCACATGAGGTGTGAGGTCTACCCAAGAGACATCCTAAAACTCGGCTGCAATGACGTTTACTCAGCTGCTTAATATTGGCATATAGATGAGCCCATATACCAGGGAGTAAAACATAGATGGTCATGGATTGAGGCACTGGTTGTAAGTCTGAATATGCAACAGAGCAACAGAGAGACCATAGTATATTATCCTATATACTTTGCAGTCCCCTGTTCCTTGCAAAGTAACAATGGCCTAACCTGTCAGTTTCAGGTGACCCAGGACATAACAGAGGCACTGGGTAGATTTTAATCTTCACTGTAATCTGTACTCTAAGTCCTCAGAACGGTAGGATGAACCAATGGACGTTTCAGGGTTTTTCTTTTTTAGTTGGTATTTTTATTTTCCATGATAGAGTTTTGTAGGTGTAAGGATTCCCCCTCTTTCACTACCCTTGCACACTCCCTAATTTACCTTCCTACCATTTTCCTCCATATTATTATGTTGGTATAGTCCTTTGGTAATAGTTACAAGTTTAACATCCTGCTATTTTGTGCACATGGAATTGCAGGGATAGACAAAGGTTAAAAATTCTAATATCATAAGCAAAGGTACATTTAACTGTTTCATTGAGAGTCCTCCTTTTATTCTGGAGGAAACACCTACTGCAACATATTATCACCTATGGCATACAAGTGTGCATTATTCTCTTTATCTATGGGAACTTATGTATATGCTTGTTCATATATGTATGTTTGTATTATATGTTGCATGAATGTTGCTTTATAAAAACAGAACATGCGATATTTGTCCTTTTGGAATTGGCTTATTTGACTGAGCATAATGGTATCAAGTTGGGACCATTTCATTGCAAATGCTGGAATTTCATTTACTTTGACGAATGTGCAGTATTCCATGGAGTAAATGTACCACAGTTTTTTTTAGCCATTCCTCTTTCAACTGACATCTACGTTGTTTCAGTTGGCATCTGTGGCCTAGTCCAGTCCAACCAGGCTCCATATCTAGTCTACAGGGAGTCGAGTGAGTGTTGTAGCCTTGCCCAGCCTGATCTGTCAGACTCATCAGCAGGAGCCGCAGCCTAGCAGGGCAGTCCCCAAAATTTACCTTCCGGGCCCGAGCCCAGCCCACATTTTGCACATGCCAGCAGCCCATCCTGGCAAGGTCTACCCCCTACTCTTGGCATTTGCTGGCAGATGCTGCAGCCTAGCCCACCCTGGGCCATATCCAGCTCTGGCTGTCATGTCAAATGGTAGGTGCTGCAGCCTGACCTGGCCTTGCCTGCCCTAAGCCCTGACTCTTGCAAGAATCTCCTTAGTGTTAACTCAGGACAGGGCACCTGTGAAGCTGACTGCTGTTACTTTTTTATTTTAATAACTTTTCAAAGATTCACTTTTTTATTGGAAAGGCTGATTTACAAAGAGAAGGAGAGATGGAGAGAAGCATCTTCCATCTGCTGGTACACTCCCCACATGGCTGCAATGGCTGAAGTTGAGCCAATCCTAAGCCAAGAGTTTCTTCTGGGTCTCCCACATTGGTGCAGGGGTTCAAAGACTTGGGCCATCCTCCGCTGCTTTCCCAGGCCATAAGCATGGAGCTGCATCAAAGTGGAGCAGCCAGGAAATGAACCTGCTCCTATGTGGGATGCTTGTGTTTGGAGGTGCAAGATTAGCCAGTGCGCCATTGTGCCAGCACCAGGCACCCATTGTTATATACCCTTTTTCATCTCTGATTCAATGATCATGTCTGCCAGGGCCTGGCATGTGTGCCCCTCCAGAACCAACTCACATACTTGCTGGTGGGTGGAGCTACCTTGCCTGGCCTGACCAACACCCAGGTCTGAATCGTACGCTCACCAGTGGGAGCACGGGCCCGCCAGGGGAGTTACCCAAGTTCCTTCATCAAGCTCCCTGCTAGACCCAGATCTCACATGTGCCAGCAGGTGCTAGGCTCTTATCCAGCATAGTCTACCACGTGTCCTGACCTTTGTATGAGCTGGTGGTTGCTGAGGTCCAGCCAACCCCACACCCTACTCTCGGGTACATCTGTGCATGCTGCAGCCTCCATCTGTTTGGCATGTTCCCAACCCAGTACCCGTGAGTGTCTGAGGTTCTGTGATCAAGTCTAGCTCAGCCTCTCAATCTCCCTAGCTAGTAAGCAAACAAGCAGAAATTGTAGTTCCACAGGGGTGGGCCACATATTCCCCACAGAATCTGACACAAGACTTGGTTATCTCAAGGGCTGGTTAGTGTCATGGTCCTGCCCAATATTTACCATCCCTTGTTCCGACACTCACTGGCAGGTGCTGTGATCTAGTTCTGCCAGGGAGGCCCCCAGCCCTAACTTTAGTGTGTGCCTGTAGGTGGTGGTTGGTGGTGTCCCATGCTACCTGGCCAAGCTCAGGTCTCCCATGTGGCTGGGTGTATTGGTCTGACCCATAAAGGCCCTCTGGCATCTCCCTTCCAACTGTTTGGTCTCAGCCCCCTCGCTTTCCTGCAAGTACAGTGGCCTTGTCAGTGGAAGTCCTCCAGGAGACATTCCTCACCTGCAGCATACTCCCTCAGTGCTCCTCCCTCCCACACATCCCCTTACCTCCTTATCTAGGAAATCCATAGTCCCTACACCCGGAGCACATGAGTTCCCAGCCCAGTCCCCCAAACCCAGTCTTCCCATGGAGTAGTGTGTTGCCTGGAGCACTGCCCGCCTCTCAAGTCCCAGGCACCTGGCATGTGTGCTGGCCTTGGAACCTCCTCTTCCACACCTACAGGTCCCAGCCCATTCAAAGTTCCCCAGGCTCAGTCCACCAGCACACCAAGCCAGCATGCTAACTTGGGGCTTGCCTTCTCCAACCCCATCAGGGACCAAGGCATGGGAAAATCCTCAGGCTCTCACCACCTTCCTGGACATGAGCCTCCAGGTCCCCACACCCCTGCCTGTGATATCCCCTTGGCCTCCTGCCAGCCAGCAACCCCAGGGCCCAAGAGCCAGCCACACAGGGTCACTAAGGTGGCACGATGCGGGCAGCCCATAACCCTATGTATTTTACCTCTGGTATATGGATGCCATTCATCTGCCAATCTTCAGAATGGGTAAACTCTGTAGCAACCTAGTTTAGGATGACTTTTCAGACACACTTTGTACCATTTGTCTCCTGCCTGGCTGTCTCAGACCATTTTTTCTCCCTCAAAGATCTATTGAATCAATGCTGAGGGTTTTTCCTTTCTTGATGATGCATTTGCTCCTTCTTTTGCCAGGGACCTGCTGTCCATAGATAATTCCCAATCTGGGCTAGGGTTGTGTTTAGCTGACAAGTGTGTGAGAGAGACCCAAAGCACCGTGGGTGTCCCTTCATAAGAGAAAAGTGCTTTATCCATGACTTTGGGTAGAAAGGTGGCAGGGTCTAAAGTAGAACATTCTTTTGTCATAATAACTGATCCCTAGGTAAGTGAGTTTTGGTATTTGAGAATGCAACTCTCTGACAGTCAGGGTGTGCTCATGGTCCAGGATGGTCTTGGAAACAGGAGTGTCACTTTGTGTCCTTCCCAAGATGAACTTTTGAGCCTCTGGAGTCAGAAACCCTACGGCTGCCTGGGATCATCGCTGGCCCACTGAGTGTAATTCACAGCTGCGATAAGTAACTGGTCTATCTTGAGTTTCAATCTTGAGTCAGGATTCCCTTGAGTCCCTTTAATGCCAGTGCTATGAGTAGCAGTTTTACCCACTATTCCTCAATGGTGGACCCTGTTAA